TTTTTAAAAAACTATAGTTTTCTTCACAAAAGCAGGCAAGTTGTTCTTTGAACAATAAGTTTTTACAATTTTAATTGTTTATCAACATATAGTGCTGTAATCTATCAAGATTTTGCACCCTCCCAAATTTTAAGAATAGTTTCTTTAATTCCTTCATTAATGTCTCCTTCATTAATACGATTAAAGTAACGTATTATTTCGGTGTGCCGTGTTGTTCAGTTCGTGACACATTTTGTGTTGTCAAGCTAACACACCTTGTGAACAGCATCGTGATGCACCCTCCACAGTGATACATTACTTATCTTACACGAAAAAAACATTTATGTCACTTCCCTTGTCACGCTTATTATAACGATTCAATTGCACTCTACCAATGAACGTTGTGAACGTCAGTGATGTCATTGTGTCATTGCAGATCCCTTTTTCCAAGAATATATTTCACCTCATTGCGCCAAATTTTGGGCTTGGGTTTGCTATCGGTAAGTGACTGTAGGCATGCTTGATGCACTGTTTATATATCAATGTATCCGTGTTCCTTATTGTTTGTAGACTCTGTTGTAGGAAATTGTATGTTGTAGCCTTGTTGTTAACCTTCAAGAGCACTGTCAGAATCACTATTCTTAATTCAAAATCAATTGATCAACCTAATACATTTCATGCAAAAAGTTTTGGTCCACACTTATCTCAATAACGGAATGGTCAAGTGCTGACCTGAAGCACAATTTGACAGTTGCTGCTGAAGTAGTCTACAGTACTAAACTTCTCATCGCCCTTTCTTGGCGCTCTCATTGCCTTATTTACCTGACAAAGCGGTGAATTCAAAATCCAGGCAAATTTTGCAGATTCCATTTTGCCGTAATCCGAATGTACTTGTTCCTTCGATGGCAGGTTTAGGGTTCTCTATCGGTAAGTATCACGTTCTCTAGTTTCATAGATTTCAGCTCCTTTTATCAGTTATTCTTTTCTTCTTTCTTTGGTCTTTCTAAGTGAAGCCGTTAGCTTCTTTTTTGTTTAATGGCATTTAAATGAAACTGGTTGTTTTATCAATACATTCATGTTACATTATCAATGCATGCATTCATGTTACATAAACGCAGTTATTGCAGTTATTCGTTTGTATGCCAAAATATAAGTCGAAATGGTATGCTATGGTATGTTTACCTCATTTATTGCAACGAAAAATTAATGTGTTTCTTAAATAAACCTATCAACGACCTGTCAACTCAGTCTTAAAATCTGTAAAAACCGTTGATCGACATTATTAATACAGTCTTTGTCATAAGAAAATTGCACTCCTTGTTAAATTATTGAAAAATTTATCGCATACATTTGCGGTCAGGAATAAAACCTCTAGCTAGGATCAAAGGCATGAAAATCATTTTTTATTCCAGGAATGGTGGATTCTGCTATGATGCCTCACATGGGTTATTTGGTGGACCTGCGCCATACGTCGGTTTACGGCAGCGTGTATGCCATAGCAGACGTGGCATTTTGTCTGGGGTTTGCTGTTGGTACGTACAGAACTTTACGAAAAAATGGGTAAAATATTGATTCATCGTCTTTATATATATATATATATATATATATATATATATATATATATATATATATATATATAATTTAAGGGAACTGTCAATTGTTATTGCTCTCGTGTTGAAATTCATTCCACACAAAACTATTGTAGATCGTAGATCGATCCAACTCCGCGAGGACTCTCGCTAAATGCAATTCAGCTTAGCAGATTAACACGCCTTCTTTTATTTCCAACGTACTCGTATGATCACAAGCTTTTCTGTATTCTATTCAACGCCAGGAGGAGGCGTGTTAATCATTCAGCGAGAGAACCAACGGAGTCGGATCGATCTACGTGTATCGATAGTTCCATTTGGCAATGACATTTTAGTCTCTTTTTGATCCATTAATTGTATTTATTTTATTTTATAGGGCCGTCTTTGAGTGGAACGATAGTGAAAGCAGTTGGATTTTCATGGCAAGTTTCACATTTTTTTCACATTTCTTTTGAAACCAGTAACGCACGTTGACTTTTCTGAGGCACGCCTTTTGATGGTAAGATGTTATCAAATTAAGTTTACAAGGCAATTTATAGATTGGGAGACGCAAGGTGGTCGCATTTATTAATCCACTAATCAGTTTTGAATTCTAAACGGTACAAACGGCAGAATACATTCCACGTACTAGTGTATATGATGAACAGGTTTCTTATCTTTGTAGGATGCTTTGGGGGATGGCAATAACTGTATTCCTGTTCGCGCCGCTGATGTATTTCCTGCGTAACCCACCCGCTGTCAAAGAGGAGAAGATGGTAGGAACCATTATCAACACTTGTGAGAATGCACAGGACCATACACGTACACGCTTGATACCAGGCTTATCAAACTGCATATAGGCCTACAAAGTACACGTCTTAAACATACACTTGTGCTCTGCATTATTCATGCATTATACATGCAGTTCTTTATATTATACTATATTTTATGGGTATCATTTACAGTACTCTTAAGGATTCCAACTTTTTTCCAATTCAAGTAATGCATTGCAAATTGCAATTGCATGTGTCGACATTATTATTATAATGTTTCACGATACTTAAAAGCCAGTTAGAACTATTTCTAAAGATGTGAATTTCATTTTTCCAGGCACTTATCATGAACGACAAATGCCCGGTCCAGTATGTGACCTACGCCCAAAACCAAAAGAGTGCGGATAATTCGGATGATGAGCCAGAAACCATGGAATCCTACAACGATTATTAACATCTGGCGTAGCTTTAGGGGCGATCCAGTACCTTAAACTAGATATTTATTGAAGCGTACCGCCCGTTATCAGACAATTGCATGGGCGAATTTGGTCGTATTTTAATGAATTATTAGCATGGACTGTAAGAATGTAGATGGGAGTAACATCACTTGTATTTGTAGATAAGTATTTCATTTTCCGGTAGGACGGGCAGTATCTATGGAGAGGGTAACTAGGATTCAGTGTTCAGATACTTTTGCAACAAAGTAATTATGTGGTGAAGGGATTTACTGACCAATCGCACAAATGTTTAATGTTCAAGTATAGATGCCTTTCCTTGCTTCCAGCTATCCTGTCTATGAAAGGAATAAACAAATTGCAAATTTTATCATGTTTTATCAATTAAAATTTGAAAAAAAAATCCACTTAAAATTGAGGCAAGTCAAGGAAAAAAATTAATTGAACGGTTTTGTTCATCTGGTATATGATATTGACAAAAGATTTCCGGCAGATTAAAGATTAACGGTAAATATGTTTAAAATATGATCGAGCACAATGTCATCTTCAGCAAGAAGGTAAGCACGAACATGATTTATTATCACAACAAATTGAACAATGTTAGATAGTAAACTAACAAAACAAACACCATATAGAAACGACTCCACTAACAACCAACCAAAATTATACTTGTAAGTATTCTTGATGCTAAAAAAATCATTGTATTTGGATGTTGCTTTGCATGTTTAGGCTGCTTGGACTGTGTTAGCACATTGTGCGGGAATTCATTACTTTAAAAGTGGATAAGCGTTCAGCTTATGAGCATGTTTTCTTTCAGATTCCTATTTGCGCAACTCCTGCTGCACTGATACCGCCAATGGCTGGACTTGGCTTTTCAATTGGTGAGTATGTACTTTCCAGCTTTCCAGCTTCTGCTATGCTGGTCAATTTTAATAAAAATGATATTACAATCATATTAACGTGCCGTTTGTTTGATGTTTAAAAACTTTTTAAAACTTCACCAAAGAAGCTACACGAGAAAATGTTGAGGGAAAGGATACGAATTATTGGCGCATAATATTCCATGAAACAGAGTTCGATTTTTCCCTTAATGTTTAACTGAAATTCACCTTATTCATTTATTCAAAACAATGTTTACGAACTCATTTTCCAGATTTTTATTTACCTGAGCGTGATCTCAATTTTTAATTGAAATTTAAATGTTTAAAATGAGACATAAGTCGTGTAATTAATGACAGTTACGAATCTCGCTATAATTTTAAAAAAGCTAGTTCTCTTAGTTGAGTACATAAAAACGTGCCAATATATTTTCTCTCTTATCTCAGGTATGGTGGATTCGTCCATGATGCCACACATGGGATATTTGGTTGACACTCGCCATACCTCTGTGTACGGCAGTGTGTATGCTATCGCCGACGTGGCATTTTGTGTTGGATACGCTTTTGGTACTTTATTCATTTTTATTTTTTATCTATTATTATTATTATTATTATTATTATTATTATTATTATTAATTTGCAACGAGTTAAGGTAACATTTCATTCAACAAGTACTCTTATTATGAGTTTTGCTGGCATACTGAACTAAATGCTCTTCCTCGTTTGTGCGTTTCAGGGCCCTCGATGTGTGGAACAATAGTAAAACTGATGGGTTTCCCTTGGTAAGCACACTATTAAAGAATTTATCTTATCATCATCATCATCATCATCATCATTTAGAGCCTATAGTGTTCCACTGTTGGACAAAGGCCTCAGCATGCTTTTTCCATTGTTTCCTATCCTGAGCCTCAGATTTCCAGTTTGGCCAAGGTTTCTTCTTCCAAGACTTCCAGTAGTCATCTAATTCATCCCTCCATCGTTTGACCGGCCTTCCTCTTTTTCTTTGTCCATACCTTGGGGTCCATTCTGTAAGCCTGATTGTCCACCTATTGTCCTTCATTCTTTTGACATGTCCTGCCCACCTCCATTTCGTTTCTTTAACTGTGAGCAGTACGNCTTCTAGCTATAGTGCACTGAATCTGTTCGTTAGGAGGATTTGGAACTCGTCTTTCTTTATGACCAGTATTTATCTTATAGGAAAGTTTCCCATTTATCTTATAGGCAACGTAAAACAAAAAATCCTCTCTTAGGCAACGTTGCTCAGGATCAGTGCACCTCGGATAATACTCATGCAATTGTCAGAGTGTTCTATGATACACTTTAAAAGCCTTGACAGTTTTTCTTCATATGGTGCAGTTTTTGAGTAAAAATTTGCCAATTCCACGAATACTACCGTTTCTTTCAAGGATGCTGTGGGGTATGGCTATAGTAGTGTTCCTCTACTCTCCCCTGGTGTGCTTCTTACGCCAGGCGCAAGTGCGCGAGGAGACGCTGGTATGTACTGTATATTTTACTGTATATTAAAATGTTTTAGAAAGAATATTGCCACCATGAGATATTTATTTGTCAATTTGCCACAAGCATTTCCATGATGAAGGGGATACAAGGAGTAGAAAACTTTCCATGTAAAACACACATCAAGATATTCTCAGGTGTCCGCGGAACACCTGTCAGCATTGCCTTATTATGGTATTGACTTGGTGAAATTTAGTTTATTTTTATTGCTTAAAAGCAATACTCTTCAATGTAATAGGCAAGCATTATTGGGATAATGCACTCTCTTAAACAGCGCTTCTTGGTATCTGCGTAAATATACATGTATGTTAATTGATTTATTAGAAAGGAATTTTGAATCCTTTTCCAGGCGCTGATCATGAAAGATAAGTGTCCGATTCAGTACGTTACCCAGGCTCAAAATTACTCTACGCTGGACGAAGCTGTATCCCCGGATGAACGCCCTTGAAATTCAGCTAAATTTGGAGGCAGTGTCCTGTGTAGAATTGCAGCATTGGAAACAACCATATTGAAGACACCGAGATTCAAGAAACATTTAGAATAAAAAGAATGTACATGTATGTCATATACCGTAGCAATTCCAATAGTTACAACCAATCTGAAATAGCTCTATCTTGTGGTAATCGGGCTTTGTTAAACACTTCAATATTGAGTAATTTATAATTCAAATTTGAGTCCATTGTAGCCGTCACAATTTAATTTTGTGGTTGAAAGAGTGGATGTCCATGCGATGTACTACAGGTAGATGCATGTCAATGTAAATGTAGGCCATTTCCTACGTGTTGCAACGGAATAAAAATATTAATATATAAGTATTGTGTTCAGTTCGAGTCTATGTTGTGTGAATAAACAGAATCACATTTCCGATCACAGGGGCATCGGGAACATAGCTACATTGTATCAAATGTGAGCAATGCAGTTTTTAAACGCAGCTTTAACTAACAGTAGTCGGTCAGCTTTTAAATTAAAGCCGTTTTTAATTTGAATATAAGCACTTGCAAGTAAATTGACTAACAAGTAAAGTTATCTTGCACATTAGCGGGTATAGCGCCTGAACATATTGCTGCTTTTCAGAAAAATCGTTTCCCTATTTCCTGGTTGTTTTGTTTAGAGGGTGGCCTAACGCAAGAAAATCACTGGTTTGTCAGCCAGTTTGTCAAGCAGCAATTAAAAAATTTTTAATCAACCCCGTGAACCAGATAAAAGGAAAAACAAATTCACAATTTTCAATAACCGAACGGTCTCTGTATAAATCTTAAGATAATATTATGTAGGCTAGGCCTACCCAAAATTTTTGACCTGTTAAATCTGTTCGTTTTTAATATAACGACTTTTTTTACATACCAATCTATTCCCAATATTGCATATTTTATTTATTTATTGGCTAAATAAACCTTATCTCTTGTCTGTTTATCTCTTATCTCTTAAAGAGATACATGATACATGAATTTTGTCAATATTAAGACAGTAGGCCCAAATCGATATCCACTTCAATCTCAAAGAGTTTTTGAACAGTTTTGGGAGGGCCCTGTTCACAACCTCGAATGCAGTTCAGGCGTTAAAAAGTCAAATTTCCCGAGGTTTAAGTCAGCTTTCAAGCACCCCTTCCACACCCTTCTAAGAAAAAGATACGTCCAGTAAAACCCGCTCGTCCTTACAATCATCAGTTGTTGGGCAATTATTCATTGACCGAACTTCATACCCATTATACCTGGTAAATAGACTCCCTTTTTCACTATTTGAGGCTTTATGTCTAATAAGATTTGTGTCGTTGATTAAATAATTAAATGATTAAAGTTTAAAAAAGAAATTAAATGTGTGATGACAGCTACCAGCATAACCACAACTGCCTGTCCCGTTTTACGGTTAGATGCATTAGATGTGATGACAGAAGTGCGATTGCAAAATACCTACCTTTTTTTCCAAAAGAGCTCTAAGGTTGCAAAATGGAGGCGTCCATGGAAACCCTAATTTAGCAGGTGTTTGTAAAGTCATTAGTGCATCAAGTAAGTTATATATTGTGTTTGTGAATGAGTCAAGTATATCAGTCATTATTTCCTTTATGATTTTTATGAAATTTTAGAAGTTTGGAATAAACTGCACATCAAAGACGTTAAACGACAACTATTTGTTGTCACAGTGACTGAGCAATGAAGTGAAGGCATTTTTTATTTTACTGTTGTGTTGTGCGTACCTAATAGCATGCCAGTTATTAGACTTTGTACATAATGACACCTTACTTACGTACGGTAAACGTATTGTCATATAACGTAATGTGCCAAAATAAATGACAGGGCATGCTTTGAATTTGAAGGAAGTCATTTGCAAACGTACTTTATACATGTATATACCATGTCATGCTAGTGCTGACACTGAGTGAGCTACACATTTATAACCCAATCTATTTTGTGTTGAATATTCAGTTTAGTATGGAGGCAGAGCGTGAGGATCGAATGGCCAACATCTTTGCCAAATTGGATGGCATGAAAGCAGACAGAGTAGAGCAGAATAAATTTGAATCTTCGTCAGAACAGAAACCTCCAAAAACGTATGAAGAATATGTGAAGTTGTATGGTCTGGTAAGGAAAATATACAAAAATATATTATTAATGCTGTGTACAGCAGGGTGTGCAATGTGTTGCTAGCGGTTTATGGTAAACTGTGTTTGATACATTGTATGGTGTAACACACTTTTGTTACTCATATCTTAAATTTTGCCACTTGTGGTCACAGAAAGAATGGCCAGAACGTCTGACCTCAGAAGGACCTCTACACTTGCAAGAGGAGGGTGGATTCCTTGGTGGACAGGAAGATATATACAACTTGCTGAAGGAGGAAGCACGTATCCTTGATAAAATCTATATAAGTGGTCAGACTGATACATGTACCAAGCAAAACCTTTATTGTCTAAAGGCACACGATATACCCAGTATGTGTAAATGTTAACTGATAATACTCACTTCTTCAAGTATGAGACATTATAATACAAATTGTGAGGGGTTGAAAGGACAATTAAAATGGCCAAATGCAGCCCATTGAAGATGATGTTGCCTGCACATTTTGTCCCATATACATGTACATGTACATGCATTCTGGTACAGTGTATATACTGCGGTATATATCCAAATGTTCTCCTACAAAAATAATTGTTTTATATTTTTATTACATAATGAGTTTTTGTTTGATATGTATTTACCTTTTAGTTTAAGTTTTGTACTGTTTATTATACCACTTTAACTCTGATCACTTAGCCATTGACATGACTTTGTTGGATGACCTTGAAGACAGATTGCTGGATTTGGAAAGAAAACTAAGACACTATGCAGATCAAATTATCACTGAAGAAACACGGTCATCCAGAAGAGCAGAAAACTTGTTTTATGCTCCACCAAAAGGTAACACTGCAATCATCAATATTTTTCCTGTGTTCTTATTAATTATTTTGTTAGCTGAGAGCTTAACGAAAATAAATATTAAAAGTTATAACATTGATTAAGATGTTAAGAAAACAGGTTTAAATGTCTAGAATATTAAATACAGGCAGTAGTTCCTAAAATTATTTATAAAATTATGATAAATAGTTAAGATCAGCTATTAAGATTGAAACCATTTACTTGGCAATGAGTACTTCAGGCATGCTTTAATAAATGGATTTCTTTTCAGCTTTCTTGACACAAATGGCAGAATCAGATGCTGTCAAAATACATCATAGCAGCAAAGCCAAAAAGTCAAAGGTAGTAATGTTGTCCACTATTATCAGATTTGAATATACAATTATTTTAATATCATCAAAATGATACTGATTACTCATTGGAATTAAAATAATTATCACATCAGCCAAATCTGAAGATATTTCTTTGAACCATTTGTACAACATTCCCTCTCATTCTAATTATTTCAGAAACTTTTAGCAATGAAATTTGCCACATGGAAACCAGGGGTATATAGATAAATTGCATTATGATATAATATTCTGCTTTATTATGATAATGCATGAAATATATTTTGGACGGCTGGGGCATGGTGTTTGCATGGATACTAGATTTATGCTTGCAAGCATTACTTCTGTAGTCTTGACATTCCCTTTGTAAGGATTTTTTGAAATAAGAATATGGACAGTTGAACTTTATATACGAGTATGTTTGGCACACCTTCTGTTTTTTCTTTTTTATTTAACTGGTATTTATGCTAGCATTTGTCACTTGTATTTTGGGACCTACATATACATGTAAATATGAATTAAAAGAAACTGCATGGACTTAATGAAAATTTTACTCTTAATCTTATAGATTAGTCTTCCTTCCAACCTGCTGATCTGACATTTCTTAGTGTATGTGTAATAGCTGGAACTTTCCATTTTTGCTTTTATTGTCAGGAAAATTCTTAACATGGTCTAAAGTATATTCTAAAAGCAAATTCTTTTCTTCTGGTAACTCATCCATTAATTATTCATTCTCCTTTTCTAAATGCACATTTATGTAGAAATAAGTCTTATAAAATGGTGTGGTAATGTGAGTCAATGAACACTGGCTTATGTCAATTGATATAATCATGTGAATGAATGAATGCAGTTTGATGCATGTCAATGGCTATGTGAAAAATGTCACTTTGGTGGAAACTAATAATGTTGGCCAAATTGCCTATTTATTTTGATGTAAAACTAATGATTGCTTAGCTTGGATGCATTATTTGTTCTGAAAATGATGGTGTCCATTTCTGTAGGATCTGGCAGAGGTGATGCTGGAGACGAGGAAAAAAGGTGTCGAGTTTTGTACATTCCCTGGCTTCAGGAAGGGAGAGTTGACTGAGCTGCCAGCACAGCTAGAGACTCCACAGATTCTACATAGAGTGACCAAGGCACAGGACTTTAATGTACGCAAGCCAAAAATGGCCTTTCAATAAATACAAAGAGAAAAGAGAATGGTCTTGTATGACAGATAAAGATAAACCTATACAAAAATATTTTTGATTCATTTGAATGCTACATGTAGACTAATGTATATGTTATATGATTGAGATTATCAAAGACATAAAATTATATTTATTTTATATGTTACCAAATCTTTCCTTGCAATTTTAGCGTGGCTTCAAAAAGATGTGGAAGAAAGTTTTCTTATCAGAAGCATCAGTGGCATTGATGCAGGACACATTCTGGTGGTTTTTTATAAACAAGTATGAGGTAAGAGACTTGTATTTCATACTGTTTTTATCAGTTAATGTTATGTACCATTTGTGCGTCTTTTTTGGCTGACATGTCACTGCTATAGAAAGATTTTTTTTCTTTTTGCATTTATTTCCATTACACATTTTAGAAATCCAAGCACAGCAGTGAGCAAGACCAACTGTTTGACAGAATCGCAGACAGCTTTGTTGCCCTGTTTTCAAGTATCCATCCTGATGTTAAGGACAAGTTTTTCCAGGTAAGCAACTACAAAGACCAACAGTTATAGTAAGCTATGAAGCCAAATTTCCTAACCTTACATCTTTAGACTGAAGTGAAGTTATGATTGATAGTCATTATGGAACTGTTTTTTTTTTCAGGCTCAGTTTAACCTTTTATGTGCACATGTATGATATGCTGCTTTAACTTTCTTCTTCAGGTGTATCCTGAGGCTCTTGCTCAAGCCATCTATTCTGCCTTCTTGGAGGCTTTCCCAGAGTCTAAAGTTCAATTCCATGATGGTTTCAAACAAGAACTGCTCAATACAACATATGAATGGATGACTGGTGAGGTCCCAGTCTTGTAACTATATGCAGTAGATCTTTTAGGCAATATCATGCAAAAAGTCTCAGTTGCTTGCTAATTATGTTTGACTGCTTTGCTGATAATTTAATAGTATAATCTAAATTTCATTATACTGCCATTATCATGATAAAAAAATCTTTTGAATATTTATGTTCTATATCTTTGAACATCCAATATTTTACTGCATTTACTTTACAATAATTATGGAATTTTACATATTATTAAGTTGTCAAACATTACTGTCAAATAATATTGTTTGACCTTGCCAGGTGTTAAGCCAGTTCCTGGAACTCACAAGCAATGGAATCTAAGAAGATTGGAACCAAAGGCCAAAGCTACGGATGATAATGCAAGGATGCTGAAGGCAGATCAAGAGAAAAATGGTACAAAATAATTAACTGCATTCAATATATAGTGCTCATGTTAATCATGGAAACCCACGGATGTATTCTGAAATACAGTATGTAAAATAGTAAAAGTTTCCATCTGACCGTTTGATGTATGAAAATAGAAATATTTAATCTGTGGCACATATCATTAATGCTGTAAAGAAAGAAACTTCCATCTTAACTGTAACCTTTATTTCATTGCCAGCAAAAGCCAAATCAGACATGGAAAACTTTGAGAAATATGTGATGAGCTTTGGCAATGAGCCGAGAGACCAGGATGCTTCCAGAGAAAGCACATCTAACAAAACTAGAGACCTGGTATCCAGGGAGATCACCAAGGCAACAAGGGAAACAACAGGCTCCCTGCCAACACATACCCAGAATATGCTGACTCAATCAAGAGTGGCCACCTGTGGAACACCAAGGAGAAAGCCTGTGGAAGTAAGAATATATACCTTTACTGTTTTATAATCACGAAGTACCATGTTTTTTAACCTTCTCATAGATACATAGTTTACAATCATTTCCAGTAAAAGAAAAATGGATAAAGATCATTTCTAAGAGAATTAACTTTTTCCATAATTTAATATGCTGAATAGCACATAATGTATGTAGTTTTTAAAACAAACTCCTTCATGAAATTTACATTTACAATATATTATGCATTATATATACTTAAGTCCCTTTTCACATCGAGTTGAACAGTTTGCCATTTTGAGAAATTGACAACTCAATAGTCTGGCTATTACAAAAGAGGGTAACGTGCACAGGACCTCTGCACTCAACACAGCAAGTTATAACCAGATTATTTGGCATGGTTTATTGGGGCTTTTGAAAGGGAGTAAAAAACATAGCTGGATTACTTATTGGGACCAGCCATACAGCTTGATGTGAAAAGAGCATTATTTTCATAAAAAGATGTTGGTTTGATATCAGACAATGTAATGGCTTTAAATTTTTATTTCAGTCTCATCAAATTGGACCAGGACCAGAATTTGAACGTGTCAAGTTTAACTTAACTGGCCAGAGTCCCCTGATAGCACACTACATGCACATGAGACAGTTACAAGACCTGGAACAACCAGGCAGGAGGATACGGAGGACAGAAATAGCACATCTGCCATATCCTTTCATATATTAATTTGTTAAAACCAGATATATTCTAAATATATTCTAAAATACCATCAGAGAAGATGCTACACCCAATTTTTCCATTTACCTACGTGCATTACTTAAAAAAGGAAATAATTGATACATATTTTTTCTTAACTGAGTCCACTTTGCCGGCACCAACCTATAAGCAGGTCATCAACAAATCCTTGGCATTTTCTCAGGCAATACAGAGAGAGTATCAAAGGTAAGACTGCCATTCTGCTAGTTGTAATAGATGTTTTATACATCACCTCTTAATTTCTTAATGATTGTCATAATGTAAAAAAAAATATATATATATATATATATATATATATATATATATATATATATATATATATATATATATATATATGTGTGTGTGTTAGTAAAATGGTGCAAATTACATGTTTTTTGTCAATTTGTTGTAGAATAACAGAGCAGACTAACCAAGAAATATTAAAACTTGAACTGAAGCGTTTAGAAACAAACCGTGAGATATCTAAAATGAAGGACCAAGTATCAGCAGCCAGAAACAGCATGGAATTGAAAATGTTGCGGGAAAAACTGTGGGAAAAGAAAATGGTAAAGATGACAATTTTGTTAAAATCTACAAAGATTTCATAGTCCTCATATTTATTAAAGTCATCCATCTTTGACATGATGTACAATTTATGATATATCAGTGAAAACTTTCATATGGTTTATATCCAATGAAACAAAATCACAAAGACTAGACATTAACATGCATTTCATTCTGTTGTATTTATTTATTTCAGGAGAGACAAACCCACACACCTCTTCCATTGGGCATGGAGAATCCATTTTCTGGAGGTGATGATGAGGATGAAGATGATACAGATGGTGCTATATAGAGCAAAATGTTAACAAATAAAACTGAAAAATGATCAGTTTAAAAATTGGGCAAAAAGTTTTCACTGACATACAAAATTTATGTAAAGAACATTTTAGTAAATTCTCTAATTATTTTCAGTAGCATGACAAATCAGGTACATGTATTACATGTAAAACTGAAACAATGGCATGGCATCATTGGCATGCTTGAAAAACTATGTTGGATAGTACTTGTGTTTTTCCACTTTACTTCTTAATCATTCTACATTTTAAAAACAAAGTATTTCCCTTTTATTCTTTCATTAATGAAACAAAAAGCAGGTCAGTTTAGGTTATCTGATATTTGTAAATACTCATGATGACATGTATATTATATTTTAAATGATTAAAATCACACAATTTATGTAAATGTCTTAAAAGATAATAAACCTCTGAATAGTAACATTATTGACTTGTAACTGTATATAAATAGATTTTGGAATGTTAGCTTCTCTAATTGAGAAAATAAGGAACAAGCTCAGTCAAGTTATCTACCATTACCACAAATTATTAAAAAAAAGCTTATGAATTTTCATTATTTTAATTATTATACATGTATATCAAAATATATCTTCTTTAACTTTATAACTGACATATCATTTTAACTGACAGTGATAGCTCAGTCTGAACAGAACTTCTGCAATTCATGTTTTAATCCTTCAAGCAAATCACAATACTTTATACAAATATCAAATCAAATGTTTAAAATATAATATTGCTCTGATGAACACCAACTTTAAGACAGAAATGCAGTTTGGCATTATTGGCACCATGTGTTCGTATAACAAATTTCACATTCCACTAAAACCAGGCTGTGGCTAATCATCCCACTTATAGATAACTGCACCACTTCCTGGAACAGTGGCAAACAAACTCTCCTTCACTCTCGCTTCTCTAGCTGGATCTTTGGCATAATATTTCTGCTGTATGGCGGTGATGAATTCCTGTACACAATCAGCTGGCACCATAGACACTGCACATCCTCCCCAGCCAGCACCAGTCAGCCTGGAGCCTAGAGCCCCAGATTGTCTGACAAGAAATAATATGTCCCATGAGATATAATGTATATGAGCTTAAGCCGGGATATCAATATAATTTGTAAATCCTCAGAGAGAAAGTCTTGGAAATAAGAATTTAATCTGCTGGACTTGCTACTTGTCTGTAAAATGTGGATGTTATACATGCATGTAAAATAAAATTTTGAAAAACAAGCAAATGTACTAAATTCATGTAATGTTTTTAACAGAAAATTAAATATTATGTAAACATTGTACAAGAAAAAAATAGGAATACAGAGTTACATGAATCAAGACCTATATCACTGTTTTCTACAAAGTTATCTCTTCCAACACTTACATGCAAAGGTCCACTAAGTGGTCAAGATCTGGACAGCTACATTCATAAAGGTCTCTGCAGGACGTGTGGCTGTCATTCATAAGTTGACCAAGCATCTCTGAGGCATTGTGAGGCTGCTCATCGCAAATTTTCTTAAAATCCCACACTCTTTTCGCCTCACTATACACATGGGTGGCTCGATCATGCAACTTAAATGATGCAACTAAAATGATAAAACAATTTCATTATCAAAAGAATAGAGAAAAACTATAATTAGAGTGTTCAAAGCATTTATGAGTCTGTTCGTTCACGGTTACATTTCTACCACTTTTCATATTGTGCTGACATTATTAAAAATAAGCACAATTATGTTACAACTAAAAGAATAATTGAAGGAGTTATATCAAATTATAGTGTTTTTTTACAAAGCAGATCACAAGATATACACTGCTATGATATACTATGAAATTCAAAGAAAAAAAAAGGGAAGAAACCCATACCTGTCAGTGTGTTCTGGCTGAGACTAGTTTGTGCAAGTTCTTCAGCACTTACACCAAGAATATTGCACACTTCTTCTTTACTGTATGGTTCAGGATGGAGGACACTTTGGGTGAGCTTAATTGCATCTTCAAGAGTGATACCAAGAGTCTTCTGTAAGTCTCCTAGCTTTTTGATTTCCCTCCAGTTTAGGCCCTTTTCTTTTGCCATTATCTGTAAACATGTGAGTTTAAATAGCATACTATGATATTCATAGAAAACATCCAATCTTTATGAATGTGAAGAAACTACTACAGTATATCATTAATTTTAACTCAAACAAAAGTGTTCAATTAAAAAGTGTTCAATAAAGCAACCATTTGTGGAAATACCACATGTAGTAAGAGAATATTATGACCAAGCATAACCTTTACCCATATATACATGAACACATTTACCTGACATGCCAGCCTACATTCCACTACCCTGATATTGAAGTGGGAGGTAGCAGCCTTGTTCATCTCCACACAACTATTACTGATAACGAACACCACTCCTTGAGGCAGGCTGACATTGGTGGCTTTCAAAGGGTTAAACTCTACCAATTTTGCCTGAAATCATGTTCTACATGTAGGTGAACAAAAGATGGCATTTTTTTCTGTAATAGTGTGCTACTATTTGGAGTATATTACTTTTTTTGTTAACTAAAATTAAAATATAAAAAATGAAGCATCTTTCATTGAGTCTTGAATTTAAAGCAATGAATCGCCTTTTTGATAAAGGACCATCATAAAACAAATAAACATCACAGCACAGCCATAACTTTCCCCTACCTTTCCAGCCTCTGCCAGGAAACAGATGGCCTGGTCCATCCCACCACCTATAGTTCCAATGTATTGTTCACAGAGGGCACACATGTCTGCTATCTCCACCTGAAACATACATTTTGACTTGTGGGGGAATTTGCATTCTGCTGTTAAAAAATACAATACGAATTTTCCCGGTGTCTTGCACAATGATCTACCAGAATCCAAAAAGACTAGATACTGTTACAGTATTTATTCTCCTAGAGAAAAAAATAATAGCTTTACCTTGCCCATTTGCTGTCCATTTATATGAACCGTGGTGAGTGCAGCACAACACACAAGGGCACTTGAACTTGAGAGACCTGCACTTCTTGGGACAGTGCCATCTAAGACCAGATTCATGCCTTTGGGATTCTTAAGAGACAGATGTTCCAAGACACCTTTGTATCCACACAGGAAATAGTGAAACCACAGAGGCTTAGACTTGTCAATTTCTATGTTGTCTGTTGCGCAGCTATACTCACTGAAAGGATAGAATAAAATGTATAAAATGTCTGAAATACACATATGTTAATCTATGATTTTGGTGTTCACATGTCGATATAGACTTTGGATCTGAATAGAGGACTTCCTTATTAAGACAATTGTCCAGTTTAAAAATAAAGTAAAGCAAAAGTAAATCTGTAAAAGAGTTATACAGAAAAAAAATGAAAAATATATTTGATACTTACTAAGTGCCAATAAATGTCTTGACATATACTAGTACTAGTATAAAACTTCTCATAGTCACATACAAATGTATGTCATTTGTATGAATGACAGTAAAAATGTGTCATATACACACTGTATGACAGTACCTGAAGTTTGAATCTGTATTGCTGAGCACGATCTTTCCACTATCATTTGCTGCAGCTGCTATGACTATGTCTTGTTCAATGGCCATGGGGAGAACTGAATAACCACAGTAGTCAATATGTTCACCTGAAATATAGAGAATAATATAATCCATATTAACAGCCAAGTCAAAATGGCAATCAAACTTCTATTTTATCATCATGCTAATTCACTCATGCTCTGCTTGATTATGTGTGTGAAGTTAATTGAAGAAAATTATCCTCAATTAACGAAATTTGTACCTCCAATGCAGTGCAGAACTTTTTTAATTTTCCACTATATCTCAATTTAAAGTGTCAATAACTGATCAAGAGCCCAATGATTTCACTGATGACTGAGATAGGTCTTTGGGAAAACATCCTTTAGTCCCTCCAAAGGGATCTCAGTTTCAAACCAGTATGCTTAGTTTTTTCCTAATCTAAAACAATCATCTACACACTTATGGAATTTAATGAAACGCATCATTACTAAATAAATTAAAGAATTAAAGACCTAAGGATATATCACCGCGGAATCCCATTTTTAAAATTGTCCAAACAGCTTAATGTATATATATGCCGCCTTCTAGTTCTAGTTTCACTTTTTTTACTTACACCTCCCAGCACGGTAGGAAACTGTGCAAACTTAGCGCTTATAGTACTAACCTATGAGGTTGACTCTACCGGGAGCACGCACAAAGAACTCGGGATAGGTACCGTATTTAGCTACAAACGTTTCCTTCAAAGTAGAAAACCTTGGCATTTTCCCCTGAGGGATAAGAGAAACCGGCGGAGGTGTGTCAGCCATGGTCATAAACCCATTCGGTGTGCAGATGTAATGTATAATTGTATTATCAAGATGAGCCAATGTGCATATCAGTAATCATCAGAGAGTACACCTACTCGATAAATTATTGGGGGACAAAATGTTTGGAACAAAAAGAGAAATTTTACAAAAAATTAAACATAACCTTTGTGAATTTAAAGATTAATGGATTATCTTGGAAATTTTCACCAAGAAGTAAAGATGGCTGCCTGCATGCGGTTGCAACAATTTGCGGGTAAAAATGCTGTTCAAATTTGTCGAAGACACTTATCTGGAGCCAAAATTAGAAAGAAAGTGAGAGAAAGGAATCCCCCTACAATAATTCATAAGAACACAACCATGAAGGAATGGCCTTTCTATTCGGCGACGGCAAGTTTCGACTACCCCAAACCACAAGGTGATGTTGCTGAGTATCCTCCGATTAAGGAGAGATTCCCTCCTGGAAAATGGGGATGTATCCCCGACAGAAAAGCTTGGGTAATGTACGAAAAGGGAAAAGATCTTCTTGATATACCACATGTAGCAGAAAGATTGGAGGAACTTTGCTCTAAAGAACAAGTAATCGTCTACCAGCTTCCTCTCTGGCAGCGCGAACATGGCCTGGTTGAATTCTTCCAGTATATCACGAAGACACACTTAGTGAAAGGAGAGCTACCAGATATTTATGGCAGTATTGAAGTGGATGATGAAACGTTTAACTTCATCAAACCTTTGGTTTTAGAAGTGATCCTCCAAGAGAAAGCACAGGTGGTGCAATATGGACGCCCACACCAACCTATTAAACACCGCACTCCTTTACAGGAGAGAATTAAAAGAGAAGAGGAATCTATTCGCCAAATTGTGAATGTAATAAGGACTTCCTTATGCAGAAAAAAGCCTCACTTAATGAAGTTATTGCAAGACAAGAAAGTCCGTATAGAGGCTTACTGGTTGCGAAGTGGATATGAAGCCATAGAAGATAATGGATATTTTAATACAGGTTTCAAACATCCGAAGGGTTTTGATCAAGTCACAAAAGCTCTCAAGTTCCAATCATCCCACACTGCAAATGTTGTTCTGACTGCAGAACAACCATTACCTGAGGTGTGTGCTTTTATTTTGAATTTTAGATGATATCATAAGGCACAGTTGCCGAGTTTTTGAATCTTAGGCTGCATTTGAAGGCTCATGAAAAGCACACTAAAATCAGGACTTTCAGTAGCCCAGGACCAGCACCATATTATATGGGTACTTTTGGGAAGATGAAGGTCAAGATGTGTAATTACTAATTAAATTTTAGTGTACTTTTTGTCTTTACATACTAATAAAAATGTGAAGACTCACCTACAACTCAATATTATTCCCTTCATCCCTCTTGTACTCTCAAATCTTTAGTAATTTGTTTAGATGTTAATAGTGTATATATTCTTAAGATAATTAAGTTGCAAATGACTGGCCAGTCACTTACACTGCTTTATTTTTCTCTACATCTCAGAGGGAAATATATTAACATCAGGTACTTGTATTAGGATGGTTTTGATATTTTACAGGTCTGAATTGGGAAAGATGAGTAGCTTCGCAGGATATATAGGTAGAAAAAGTAGGGGGGAGGAAAGGAAGTGGACTTGTTGTGGCTAATTTTACTTTTGCATTTACAGAACATTTATTTCTCATATTTGTTACAGTTTATCTCAAAGGAAGATCCCCTGTGCACAGAAGAAATTCCCCAATTCAGATATAATCCTATGACAGTTGGACAACATACAGCACCAAGTAAACCAAGATTTGTGCCAGGTGGGACATCAATGAGTGGATTTAAAGAAGAACTTCTTATTTGTGCCTTTGAGGGACACACCATACCTGACAAGCAACTTTTGGACAGAATTATTTTTCAAACTCGTTTGAATAAAAAGCAGTACCTTACTAGCGACCTTTAAAATATTACTATGAATCATACTACGTTGAAATGAAAAATAAAGTTAATACTTTTTCAAATAGGTTACCACCTAGGTCAAGCCTGTGAGTTTGCCTACCTAACCATCAATACCCCAGGCAGAGAAATCGATGAAGCTTCCCTACCTCACCCAGATGACATGAAGACTATAACTTTGCAAGCAGGGATTGGAATCTCATTTTCACAGCTCCTAGCAAAGGCACATTACTTGGGTATGTAATTTATATCTTACTTTTTTATGAAAATTTATGATCATTTTTATATATACAGACACTGTAAGTGCTGATCGCTATCGCTGTTCGACACATGACGCTCCATAACTGCCAAACCATATTTTTGTTTTACGTAAAATTTACTGAGTGGCTTTGTTTGGTAAAGAAGCAAGTTGCTTGCAAAAAAGGGATGATAGCCTGGTTTACATTAAGAGTAATTATTATTATTATTTTTTTTTACAATTTTGGTGACGGTTGCCCCATAACGTCCAAACTGTATTTTTGTTTTACTTTAAATTTACTGAGTGGCTTTGTTTGGGTAAAGAGGTAGATTGCTTTTGAAAATCAGCATGATCAGTTTACATTTATGGTAGTTATTCTCTCTCTCTCCTTTTTTTTTTTTTTTTTTTTTTTTGTAAATTTTTA